TGGAAATCTTCGTCGCTTCACTCAGCATCAACAACTAAATTCTGATTTTCAACTCCAATGTGAAGTCAATGCTACTCACTATACGGATCAGAGACTTGGCCAGCGCGTCATAAAGAGCACCTAAAACAAACTACACACCTTCATTAACAGTTGTCTTCACTCAATACTACTCAAGATCAGATGACCGGCCAGAAAAGATCAGCAACAGGGAGGGATCTCTGGCAATGAGCGAACCAACCCAGCAGGAACCGATTGTGAAACAAATAGGCAGGAAGAAATGGAGATGGATTGGCTGGTCATACTCTGAGGAAGCAAACCATCAAGTGACATCACTAGACAAGCCATTGCTCGAGTGGAACCCGAAAGGGAAGCGGCGAGTTAGTTGGTCGTCAGTGCAAGGTTGACTTGGAGGAATGAGGTCATGTGAAGAGGAGATGATGAGGAGACGTGTGGGCAGACTTGGAGCCAGGTGAAGACTATAGCAGAGAACCGCACGCAGTGGAGACTTGCGTGGCTGAAGCCCTATGTTCCTCTAGGAATTAAAGGAAACAATAATAATAATAAATATTGTTTATTCACAACTAACTAACTAATAAGAACGGAATGCTATTTAATTTGAGAATAACAGTAATAATACTACTAATAATAATAATTTGAATTGAATTCCAACTGACTTTAATCGATCGATAAGATAGACAAAAACCTACATCAACATCATCATCATCGCCATTACGATAGTCGTAATAATAATTATCACATGAATTAATGACTGCATAGTCAAGACTTAGTGAAATATGTACTTAAATCGATTTTCTTCGTCTTTTTCTTCTTCTACTCTTGAATAACTTTTTATTTGTGATAAAATCGTAAGATGACAAAACAGTAGATAGATTAGGGTAAAATTTATGCAGAAATTTTAGGGTGTACTTTAAAATAATAAATTGAAATAACTAACTAGATTGTGTGTGTGTGCATGTGCGCGCGCGCTTGCGTTATACTACTACTACTACTACTTTTGGACTTACAACTACAACAAGAAGCCTTATTTATGATTGGTAGAAACTGTGTATTATGTATTATGTTGAAATAATCCATAAAGTAACTAACTGCACGTCTATCTCTATTAGGCATAAAAGGACATCATCATAGAATAATAACATTCCAAGTGTTTGTTCTATGAAACAACCAAGTAGAGCAGTTTAGAAAATTTTAGTCACGAAGTAATAATAGTTAGTGAAATCATCAAGAAGCACTTGACAGTTGTTTCGTCCTAATCTGGGACTCTTCAACGCCAAGTACCCTGACTTTTTAGGTTACGAAGTACAGCCCAGTAACTTGTGTCAATTATTTCTAGTTTGACAACCACCGTTGAAAAACAACCAGAAAGTATTGGACAGTTGTTTCGTCCCAGTTCGGGACTCTTCATCCGTACGGAACCAGTACTTTCTGATTACAAGGCAAGCTCGTAGAGTATTCAGTGGCTTATGAATTCATCAGCGAGTATTTGTCATCACACCTAACCGGGTCACGACTTCTCACTAGAACTCACTAGAACTTCCTGTAGCCAATCGCCGGAGAGCTTGCCGTATAACCTGAAGGTCCTCAGTTAGTAAACCGATGGGTACGTACTGCCGAAGAGTCTCACACTAGGGACGAAACAGCTGTCCAGTTTTCAATACTTCTCTAACTGATATCAATCCATGGTCAAGCTTGAAACAAATCAAATCTTTACAAAGTAAGTCTTGTGAGCATTACTGATGAGTCCTGAAATAGGACGAAACAGCTCTGTCTTATGCCCCCTGGTTCCCATAGATTCTCTAAACTCGTTTGAAAATGACATAGTGACTCAAATTACGTGACATATACTTCAAGCACCACAATCGTTGAGGTCCCACAGAATAATGTCCTATCCTCTTTGCTTACAAATCTATGATGAGATGGCTAGACCACAAGTGAAGAGTGTTATGAAAGCCACGGTAACTGCATACTTTAAGGCTCCCCCCCCCTTAACAGACATTCTTCACAACTATAATTTCTCGATGAGAAGAGATACAGGTAATTAAGAGTATGGTTGAGTTATAAAATAAAATATAAAAGTGAAGACAAGAAGAACTTCGATACGAATGAGGAGGTAGATCGGTTCTAAGGATGCAGTGACAGCTTCAAAATATTCGCTATGGATAAAACTATTTTGAAGCACTGGAAGATCTAGACTTCGCGAATGACTTGTGTGTCTGATGTCACATTAAACTCGACAATGTACAGGCGAGAATCAACAAGTTGGAGAAAGAGGGAGAGAGAGGACTTCAAGTGGACATATTGAAGACAGAAGTGATGAATATACCTAATCAAAAATAATAACAACAATGACAACAAAAAGAACCAATCACCATCAATAGAAGAAAGGTAAAGGAAGTCCCCTGTCTAACTTATACCCAAGGCAACATCGTTCCAACTGCAGGCGGAACACATACAGATGTCGAAGCCAGTAAAGATCGGTAGGGAACGGCTAGATAGAAGTTGATTAATCTCAAATCAATGAGAAAATCTGTTCAACTTAGTACTCACATTTGACGATGAAGATAAGATGGCCAGTTGGAAGAGATGAGCAACAAGAACCGCTGGCAACAAACCAATCAAAAACCTTTCACCCAAGAAATATACAAAAGTAAATGAACAGGAGGATTGGACAAACCTTGAGGAAGCCGTTGAGTGACATAACTATTCAGTTAGTCGACTAGAATCCTATTGGGAAATGACCTGTTCAGCATCCGAGGATGATACATGAAGGAGATCATGTGATGAGGAGGAAATGAAAGCCTACGGACTGACTGACTGGACTCGACGTAGAACTTTGCACAAGTGTGCAGTAGTTCCACTTGCCACACTCCCTCCTTGTAGCACACAAAGCAAGAGAAGAGAATAAACACAAGTGTAAGTGAGGGGAAAAGAATAGTAATATGGAAGAACAATAGAATTTTATGGGATATTACAAGGAGTGGATGCATCTCCACCAGTCACTGAGAACGATAATTTTGAGCCATATGACCAATTGTCTCCAGCCTTCATTGGTTCTTAACATCCCGAGGACCCCAACTAGGAAGCCAGTCTACATCTCCCTAGTGGGCAATCGTGGTAGCAGTTAAAAAAGACAGCAGAGAACAGAGTAAAGTAGATATGCGCTGCTGAAGGTCTGTGGGTGTATGCCGCTCCGAACCCAAAGGAATAATAACAATATTCATATAAGTACATCATCTTGTGGATACAGAACACAAGATTGATGTCAACGAGGCAGCTTTCAAAGTCATCTAGCGCATACCATCAAACCTTAACTTCCCCTTAAGAGTTCGATTACTAAATATTGCTGAGGCTGGCCGTTTTTATCCACATTAAGAAGCCTAATTTGTGCATCCAAAAGAAGCTAGTTCAGACACTATCCTTACCCCACTGGCCATCTAGGTTTGAATGATCCTCAATTTTTGTGGAATTTTTCTAATTATAGTTGATATTCTATTTTATATTATATCTTTATTATTATTTAAGAATCTTTAATGAACCATAATTCCACTGTGATCTTACTGTACAAATCGATATTATTTAAAAAGCACACCAATATTGTTATTGACTACTATTCTAGAATATTCTATGCATATAAACATATGTATATATAATTGTATAGCCAGAAAAGGAAATTATCGAAAAGGATATTCTTTGCTCAATTATTTTGTGTTTTATAAACACAAAATGATCACTTTCGTTTCTAATACACATTTCTTAGTTCTTCTGAAACAGGAGACTTAAACTGCAAACAGGTTGTGTGTGCTAACCTGAAAAGTCCTATCGAAATTTATGAATTAATTAAATACTTTTCAGCTTTTCACGATGTGCGCCGATGGCTCATGATGGCTCGCCAACCACACCTCATGTGGTCCGGGGTTCGACCCCCGGCCACTGACGCACTCCTTTACCTTTCCAAGCCAGTGATTAAACTGGTAAAGAGGGAAGGTTGGAGGGGGTATGAGGCTAGCAATCCCATCCCGTAAAAACAAATAAACACCACTGCTAGAGAAACTTTAGGCCTCTAACTTGAAGCCCCCTGTGTTCCACTGGGGGGGGGGGCGTAAAGGAATAAAAAAAAACAGTTTTTCAAGATAAACAACAAACAATGCACCACACAATGAAAGTCATGCTTCCCACTTACTCAGATTATTCAATGACGCGCATACCGATACTGAATTTACTATGGAACATGAAAGTTATGGAAAGTTCCAATTCCTCGGTATTGCCAAGCAACACCTAGAAGATGGTAGTCATCAGAAGTCAATTTACCGAAAGCTGACATGGAATGGATAATACTTACATTTTAATAGTTTTTGTCCAAATAGCTAACTATAAACGAGCACTAGTCAAGACTCTATACTATAGAGATAAGAGATTATGCTCTATAGAGAAATTAGAGGAAGAATTTTTGGTTCTCGAAAAGAAGTTGAAAATCAATGGTTACCCTCAAAGATTCATTAACAAGTACAGAAGATCTGAAGACTCAAATGTCAAACAAATCACAGTGGGAAAAAGCCCATCTACATTCAACTTGATTATAAAGGTGAAAATATTACAGTAATTGTCAACAGAAGATTGAGGATGTCACTAGGCAGAGCCTATCCTGCAGCTAAGCTCATTCCTGTTGATCGAACAACTTGCTCTTTGGTGCAATCAAAAATCGATAGATATCCATCTCATGTTAACTCAAACTGTGTGTATGAATATATTGATGGATTGGTTTTTGTTTAAAAATGAACTCTGCGTGCAAGTATGTTTGAGTTGTTTCTGTAGACATACTTAATAGTGTCTTTGATCTGTAAGCAGCTGAGCTGATGAGAAGCCAACGAAATAAACAATGACTAATGGCGCCATTTTATTCTACAAAAACAGCTGTTGTTTTTGCTTTATTCAAGAAAAAAAATAATTAATTAATTAATTAAAATAGCGACAAGACATACCTCTAAATAATTGCAGGAATGCATCACTTTACGAATTGCTTGTTTAATACGTGCACGCATTCTAAGCATTGCAGAGAATTCTGGTAGCCTGTGCCGTTTAGATAATCCTTCAACTGAGCGTAGAACGCCTAAATCAGGTCGTGGACTATGCCGACCAACGGAGCTTATCCCCTGATTTACTTCTGTAGTAGCAGCAGGAGTAGCAGCGGTAGAAGAAGAAGAGGAGGAGGACAGATCCGGAGATTCATGACGGTGTTGACAAATAGAAGATGAGTCATCATTCTCAGACGATTTTGTAACATTGTCAAGAATAGTCACAGTTTTAGCGTGTAATTCACCCCAACATTGAATATTAGTTTTAGTGGCAAGTGATTTGGATTTACGGGAATTATTTGGGAGAGTGTGTATATCACCTTCAACGGATACAGCACAACCGATATTGATATTTTCAGTAATATGACTAGGCGTCATTACAACCTGAAATATCAAATATAAATAAATAAATATATATATAAATCATGCAAATGATACCCGCACAGAGAATTGAATGCTCAACGAACAAAAGATAAAGACACGTAATCAATAGAAGTTCTGTGGGCCTATTCGGTGAAGTATTCATTCGATTGAATTCTCAACACCTATCACAGATTAACACACCAGACCCTAAGATACACTTGATTGTATAAGAGGCTGTAGTACCACTGGAGTTGAACAAGGGGTATACAGCATGGAGGCGGAGTGTTTTAGATACCAAATCAAACTAATTGTACTCTTCCATATTAGTTTGTTTATTAGATGTATCACACAGTCAGTGAAACAGTATTACTGTTTACTGGATGACGTTTCGCACAAAATTTATTCATTGTTCATAATCATATCATCAATTATAATCATACATCTTCGAAACTTCAGTTTTGTAGTTTTCTTTATTCTCTCATATTTGTCGTCCTTGGGGTAGTAGAATTTTCCAGATATCTGGGTGGACAGGTGTTGAATCATTCCTAATACATGTATTCTCTTCAGTTGATTCGATAAAAAAAGCTTCTGTTATCAATCTCTCCCTCCACCCTACTGTGACATTAGATTAGATTTTGAAACTGTCATCTTATCCCATCTCATCCTATTGTATTGTTGTGTGCAACTGCATGTGGTGAGTGCTATAGCTGAACTATTCTCTAGATTTCTTATCTTATTCGGGTCAACCAATCTAGATTTCGCTAGGTTTTTATGCTCGGTTAGTCTGACTGACTGCCCCTGTTCTACTACTTTGACCTATGTATTTTACCTGACAATCATTGCAGACAGGATATTAGGTAAACTAAACTGTTTTGTTTTAAAAGCTCCACAGGAACTTTTAACCAACAAAGGAATAATTCAACACCTGTCCACGAAGATATCTGAAAACTTCTACTACCCCGATAACGACAAATAGGAGAGAACAAAGAAAACTATAAAAGTAAAGTTTCGAAGTCGTGTGATTATGATTGATGAAATGATTATGAACAACGAGCAAATTTTGTTCTAAACTTTGTCATGCAGTAAATAATACTTTCATTGTGTGCTATATCTAATAGACAAACTAATATGGAATTACTTACTACCACAGTGCCCAAGTTTTACACATATAATAATTGTACTCTTCGACAGACTCTGGAACGTAAGCATATTTACCGGTGTCGAATACTTGCCATATCTCTTGACCTGAAGGTGGCATTCGACTCGGTTGACTGAGAGGTGCTGTGATAACGTTTCCAGTAAAAAGAGTGCCAAGAAAATACATCATTAAGCGAACTCATTTAGCCATGTAAGAGTTTAATGGAGAGAGTTGGCATTTCACACGGGAGATAGAACACAGGCACCTATGATCAAAGATAACTAGCTGGCCTTTTCATGTCTTCCACTCTCAATGTCCATGTCTCACCGACAGCAATAAAGGAGGACAGAGGGAACTGCTACGCTGGGCAGTACACACGTCCTTTGGTCGACAGCCAACCGGATATCACATCTCCTAAACCAGAGATGGGGTAAGCTGACTGAGTCTGACGAGTCTTCTATAGCCGTGCTGAAATTTCATCAGCAACCAACCCGTTGGCGTTGGCTGATGCAACTTCCCAAATAAGTGAAGTGGTCAACACACTCCACCAACCACTTCACTCCCACCTATCTTTAAGCTAGGAGTGATTCAGTGTAGTCCAGTCCTGTAACCTCATCATCTTACATCATTTGACAGTATGAGCGAATCGAATGCCAAACATTCAAAGATTGATTGCCAGGATCATTGACTGCCAAGAAATTAACCTATAAAAAGAGGAGACGTTTTGCTGCTGCAAATAAATAAAAAAGTGTTCTCAGATCTACACACAAGAAAAGCAACATGACTGGAACACGTAGACGTAAATAAAAGCAACATGATTTTGAAAAGAAACACAACAAAAAAGTGACTTACAACCCCCTCCCCAGCCAAAAAAAGTATTAAAACTAATACAGACGAAAGGTCAGTCAATATGTCTGCATGCATAGTTTGACCTAAATCATTCACCATTTTTCTCTCTCTCTATGATATAAAGTGATAAAGGTTAAAACTAAGCAGGCACTAACTAAATGTAATCTAACCTTTGACAAAATACATACGATAAAAAACTGTTAGAATATTGATTGAAGGCGTTTGTGAAAATTTCAATTTTCGGTAAACTTTAATTATGTGAAAGATATTTTTGTATAATTAAATGTTCAGGAGTTTTTCGAGTTTGGCCACGGATTGGTACCAGTTAGAGAAAAAATTGAAAACCAGCACTGTAGTACTGGACAGCTGTTTCATCAGCCTAGTTAGGGAATCATCGGCAGTATGCACCCCCCCCCATAGGGGGTTCGGACCCAGGACATTCCGGTTAGAAGGCGAACAAGCTGGTATACCATTCAGACACTAGGAACCAACTCCTCAATGGCCAGCACATGAATCTTAACTTCTACCAATTCATGATTTTTACGGCGACCACCAACCAATCTCATCGGCGGTGGGAAATCCATCTTCACTCTCGACTGGATACACCTCACTGGTCATGACTTCTCAATAGAACTCCGGGAAACTCCATCTTGTAGCCAGTAGTCACTAGCGAGCATCAGATGAATTTCCAAGAGTTGATTTGTAACGATTTAATTTGTTTTTACGAGTTTGACCACGGATTGATATAAGTTAGAGTATCATTGAAAACGTCCAGGAAGGGAAGTACTGGAAAGTTGTTTCCTCCTAGTTTGGGACTCAGAGGCAATGTGTACCCACTGCCAGGGTTCGAATCTATTCAGTGTGTCAAACAATCTAAAACGGGTTCTCTCTCCGCGTTTGATAATAATAGTAATAATAATAATAATCTACTTTATTCCTAAACAGACAGTACTTATAATACAGAATGGAATTCTAAGCATTTGTCACAATATGGCATCTGATTTACTCAAAATATAAATAAAATTAAAACAAAATTAACCAGAGGAATTTCTCCACATTTACGGTGAATAAAGTCAAAAATATTCGAAGTACGAATTGAAAATAATAATAATAATAATAATAATAACAGTGAGTTTGTTTCAAACAGTATTGTCGATTCAGTTTGGAAACTTTAGCATGTTATAGATTATTGGATCTAATGTTCTGTTGATATGGTATAGTGAGGGGAAATACAAAATTAACAGTCATAACACAGCTTAAATGATGTCTACATATATGAAAAAATTATCAAATAAAAACAAAAAATTGAGAGGATTATAAATATAAGAAGAACAATAAAAATAAAGGTTGATGTTGTAAGGGTGGAGGAAATGGTTTATTTACTAGTGCAAAGAAGGTTAATTAGTTAGTTCGTGCCTAACACTATTTTCATCACATAAAGTACGTGCCGTCAAATATGGTATAGTGGAATTTTTATACTTAGACGTACGTGCATAAAGTTTTCTGAAAAGACTTCTTGTTTTACCTGAGGAGACACAAGGTTGGAGCTGCGGGTGCTGTGGTGGATGCTCACAGTCTGACAAAATTCCTTCAGCAAATTTGTTGCATGACATCAAGTGCCTATCAGTGACAATGTCAACGATATGGCCCAATGGGATACCACCACTCGCTCTAATGATAGTCAGTCTTCAGAGTTCTACGAAGTATGACATAATCTTTTTGAAGCAATCCAGGAAAGAATAAGCAGGGGTGAACAGTAAAGAAGAATAGGTAACATGCACGAGTTGACAAACTGTAAGTGGAGGGGTTGATTGAGTTATGCCTGAGTGCCTTAACTTCTTAATGTAAAAAGTCGGACAAAATATTCTTTTCGAAATCGCTTAGACATGGGAAGACCAGGATAGGTCAGTAGAAAGAATTCAACCAAGATACTTAACTTCAGACTTGGTTTCTACATCAGTATCATCGATTTTGCAAGGACCATAGGAACCAACGGCTTCATTTAACTTTCGTTTACATGGGAAACTGAAATTAACAGTCTGACATTTGGACGGATTTAGTTTAAGGCCACTAGACGAATACCATTTGCTAATTCCTGATAGAAAGTAGTTAATCCTAATGCAGTCAAGCTGAGAGTTAACAGACATTGAAATAATTAGATCATCGGCATACTTAATAAAGTTCATTTCGTCATCAGAGTGAGGCAAGTCATGCGAGAAGAAATAAAGTAGAAAAGGAGAAAGGACAGCACCTTGAGGAACACCAGCCTCAGTAAGCAATGAAGTGGACGACTTCCCCTGACATACAGGGTTAATATAATCATTCACTGAGATATGGACACATCTACGTACTCCACACAAAGGTAGACAACAGAGACAGAGGGAGAGAGAGAGAGGAGGGGAGAAGAAACAGTTTCAATCGAACTATAGTGCGCAACAAAGTAGAGGAGAAAGAATAATAATAATAATAACATGGAGAAATACGAACACTTAGTGAATCTGTCAGATTAAAAAGAATATAAATGCATCTAAGTCATTGGCGGCGGGGAGGAGGGGAGCGGTGGTTGAGTTCTAGTCATATCTATCACCAATAGTCTTAAACCGTTGGTTCTTTGCCTCCCACCAGGCAGTCTACACATCCCTTCCTATGTGGTTGACTCAAAGCAATAGTTTAAGACTACACACACACACACACTAATATTGATTTCATGTTTTGAATTGACCAAACTTATTACAATTCGGAAACTAAAAAACAAAAATCAATGACACAAAATGGTATTTAAAACAAACAAACAAACAACAACTCTGAAAAGAAAAACAGTATTTAGGGAATTCATATATCCCGGTAGGACTCGTCGACCGAATAGTCCTTCTCTCTCTCTCTACAAGCATTGTTATTTGAACAATTTTTTGTGGAGTTAACATTGTTCTGGACAGCTGTTTCGTCAGCCTAGTTTGGGACTCTTCAGCAGTATGCACCCCCACCACAGAGGGGTCGAACCCAGGACCTTTCGGTTACAAGGCAGGTAAGCTCGTATACCATTGATACACTGGGACCCGACTCCTCAATGGCCAGTCTATGAATTCACTAAATACTGTTTGTTCGTTTGTCTCTTCACAGTTGTTCCTTGTTTCATATCTGCTATGTGACAGAGATGTTTGACTGACTCACTGACTGACTGCTTTCAGTGTAGAACTTTTCACAGATGTGCAGCCGTTCCAATCACCACACTTCAGTTAGCACACAAAGGAAGAGAAGAGAGTAAAGATAGAGATTCAAAACAGAGACGATAAACAGAAATATGAGGCAAAAACAATAGTAATATGGAAGGACAATTTGGTTTTATTGAATATTATAAGTCACAAGGAGTGGATGCATCTGCATCACCGATTGTTCCCAGCCTTCATTGGTTTTCACCATCCCAAGGACCCTAACTAGGAAGCCAGTCTATATCTCCCGATGTGGTTTAAACTAACTGTTGTGGATTTCATTGACTGATGAAGTCATGTTTTGGTTTGACCACCACTGGCTGCTTTCCAACTTGATCAACCCTATGTCAGCTAATTTCGCCAGTCAAGGAAGGCGATAACTAGGCATGCGTAACATACCTCCTAACCATCTCAGTCGATGTAGCTTCACAACCTCATCGATCGACTTCTCCTCCTTACCTAACACACAACGCACCCAACCTTAATGTTACTGACACTATTATACCACCTAACATGGGATGTAGAAAAAACGCTGGCCCTTTCACATCTTCCACTCTCAATGGCCACGTCTCATCGACAGCAATAAAGGAGGACAGAGGGAACTGCTACGCTGAGCAGTACGCACTTCCTTTGGTAGACAACCAACCGGATATCACATCTACTAAGCCAGAGATGGGGTAAGTTGACTGAGAAACGCCAAATGAGCCTTCTATATCCGTGTTGAGATCTCGTCAGCGGTCAACTGCGCTGACGTTGGCTGATGCAACTTCCCAAATAACAAGTGAATTGGTCAAAACGCTCCACCAACCACTTCACTCCTTATCTCTAAGCTAGGAGTCAATGACAGGATAGTAAAATTTAAAAAACGATGGATCTATGAAAGAGCAACATGAACAATAGAAATGACCACACATAGTAGTCTCGTTTATTGGCTTAACTTGTAGCGATGAATAATCCCTCAGATTTATTTTGGTCTACAGGTGTCGTCAATCAACACTGGATGTTGATCTTCACGAATTAAGTCGACTGGTTCAGCTGAAGGTATGGCGCCAAACAGCCAGAGCATTTGGTGCGATATTGTGTTACGCTCAGTCGTTCATGAACAAATCCTACGTAAATAGGAAAAAAAGTACATTTTGTGTTGTGGAAGGTATACAGTTGCATCTGCATTTCCTGAATACCCATTATTATTTTTTTATTTATTTTTATTTTTTATTTTTATTTTGATTACAGCTTGATTCCACACTGCATTTTCAGTACAAGTGTGGAATTTTCAGCATGGATATTGGTAACCCAAATTCACAGGCCGACCATAGATATCGGATGTGCGCCGGCAGGGGATCGAACCCCGGACCATGTGCATGGTCGGCGAGAGTCCTAACCACTGTGCCACCGACTCACATGCTTGTTCTTCTTCTTCTTCTAAAAGCTTCTAACTAATGAGTTCTAAGTTGAAATCTTTCTTCATCAGTATCCTTTATTCATTTTATTCCTTTATGCCAGCCTCATGACTAACCTTCCCTCATCGCCCGGCTTACTACTAGCTAAGCGAGGTTAAACAGTGGCATAGGCGAGTGATTGAACCATGTGGACAGCGTGGATGACTGGCCAACATTCCTACCGCCGAATCCACCCGACTATTTTAGTCAAAGCATCTACAAAGAAGCATTATTTTAGATTTTCCCGTCGTTTGATTCGAGATCGAAGTGCTTGGTCTCAGGTTGACATATCCCTCGGCTTCTTGTGCAGATGCTTCGATGATGTCTGGGCATGTAATTAGAAGTTATGTGGTGGATGGTGACTTATAGTGAGAGATATCTATGTTGTTAATTATTGCTTAACACAGAAGTTTACACTTTTACTTTCATTTATCGTAGAGGTGATTTTGTAAAGTTATCTTTGTCGGTAGTATTTTTATTATAGCGAAAATATTCATTCACTCAGACATCTAGAAAACACAAAATAATTGAGCAAAGAATATCTTTTTCGATAGATAATTCCCTCTTCTGGCTCTACAATTATATATTACATGTTTATATACATAGAATATTCTAGAATAGTAGTCAATAACAATATTAGTGTGTTTTTTAAATAATATCGATTTGTAAAGTAAGAGCAATGCAATTACAGTTCATTAAAGATGCTTAAATTATAATAATAATAATAATAATAAAGATATAGTAGCAAATAGAATATCAACTAAAATTAAGGAAATTTCTACAAAAATTGAGGATCATTCGAACCTAGATGGCCAAGGTAAGGATAATGTCTGAACTAGCTTCTTCTTTTGGATGCACAAATTAGACTTGCTAATATGAATCCCCACAGCCTCAGCAATATTTAGTAGTCGAACTCTTAAGGCAAAATTGAGATTCGTAGGTATGCGGTAAATGACTCTGAAAACTGCCTCGTTGACATCGATCAATCTTGTGTTCTGTATCCACAAGATGAGATAGAATAGCACTGCGAATAGATTTTGTTTGTCCGGTAGTATTTTTACGGCGGTAGGGGGGAGGTGGCAACGATTCTTTAGGTATGTATTCCAATAATGGGACTCAATTAAGTGAAGATAAAGATATATTAACATTGTATTCTGAACACTTCCACTTCCACTACTATTACTTTGACGTCGCTAGTCAGGGTTTGATTTGTTTCCAGTTTGATGACGGATTAATGTCAGTCAGAGAACCGATGAAAACCAGCACTGGAGTACTGGACGGTTGTTTCGTCAGTCTAGTTTGGGACTCTTCATCAGTGATCACCACAGGGGTTGGAGCCCAGAACCATCTGGTTACAAGACTAGCAGGCTCGTAGACGACCATGAACCTACTGGAACCCGATCCAATGGCTAGCCCATGAATTCTAACTTCTGCCAATGTTAGCTGACATAGGGTCAGGATGGAAAAGAGCTAGTGGCGGTCAAATCAAAACATAGCACCAGTCAATGAAATCCACAACAGTTAGTTTAAGCCAACCACATAGGAAGGTGTAGAATTCCTGATTGGTTGGCGTCCTCGGGACGGTAAAAACCAATGAAGGCTGGAGACAATTGGTGATATGGCTCAAAATCGTTCTCAATGCCTGGTACATAGAGGGAGTGTGGTGACTTGAACTGCTGCAGATCGGTGCAAAGTTCTATCTCAAAGGCAGAAAGACAGACAGACAACCAATTCACGACATACCGCGACAGCTAGCCAATGTCATCAGTGGCGAGTATTTGTCCTCACACCCACCCTGCTGCCCCCTACTGGTCATGACTTCCCACTAGAACCCCAGGTAACTAACTACTTGAATAGGGCTAGTCGCTAGTGAGTATCTCATTGATATTCAAGAATTCATGGGCCATTGGACCGGGTCCCAGTGGCTTAATGGTCTACGAGCTCGCTTGCCTTGTAACTGCAAGATCCTGGGTTCGAACCCTGGCGGTGGGTGCGTACTGCTAAAGAGTCCCAAACTAGGTTGACGAAACAGCTGGTGGTTTCCAATGCTTCTCTAACTAATGTTGTCAGCTTATGATGAAATCCTTTATCCTATCATCCGTAACAGACAATAAGAAAAAGACGCAGTTAAAAGAAACATCTTACCTGTAGGTCATAAGGTGATGTTCCATCTGAGATATTACAAAATACACGAGATTTATGCTTTCTAACTGATTGAACCCAACCAATTATTTTGATATTTTTACAAATGATATCATTATCAGTAGTATTGCTGGATTGTTTAGCTATATTTAATGATTGTATCGAGTGATTGGTTGTCATTCTAACTGACTGGTGAATAGATGATGATGGATATTGTAAACGCTTTACAAACAGGCATGATTGATGTCGATTTGTAGTATTGATTGAACTTTGAAAGTAGAATCGTTTGGATATATGAAGGAAATTGGTGAATTTTTGATGTAATATCATTGGTGATGATGATGCTGATGATGGCGACGAAATCAATGAAAGGCGAAAAGATTAAGCTGAAAGATAAATATAATCAATAAAGTTCAAATAGAAGTCGTTGAAAAAGAGAAATTAGATACATAATACTGATGAGACTTTGAGTGAACACTAGTATCAATTAACTAGTGTAATGTGTCTGTCTAGTGCAGACTGAATTCTATCAGTCAGCCAGGTTTGCAATGTCGCCACCATGCCACTAGGTAGCTCTCCATCACGATGCGCATTGATTTGATGATATTAGATGGTTGAAGGCAATCGGCCACAGGAAGCCTTGCTCTCTTGACCTAGGTTTCGTGCTAGTTGGCACTCACCAGTCAGCAAGGCAGGCGTATCTGCAACCTTGAAGGAACTCATGTTCCTTCTGGGATTCGAACCCGCGTCATCCAGTGCCGCCTGCAGTCAGTGACATTACCACTGAGCTATTCAGGATGGATATTGACCTCCTGTAGGACTGTACTGGATATTTTTGATTCTATCAGAACGGACATAAGTTCCTTCAAGGTTACAGATATGCCTGCCTTACTGACTGGTGAGTGCCAACTAGCCACGAAACCTAGGTCAGACAAAGCTTCCTGTGGCCGATTACCTCCAATTATCTAACGTCAACTGATGAGACTGTTTGATACTAGCACATATCAATCGACGAGGCTATAAAGTTACATAGATTGAGATGGCTAGGTCACGTGCTGCGCTGCCTACATGCTCCCCAGGACGGGCATTACTAGCTGATATAGGTGCAGGTTGGAAAAGAGTAAGTGGTGGCCAAACAAAAACATGGCCTCATCAATCCATGAAATCCTTGACAGTTAAACTGAGTCAGGTAGGGAGATGCAGACTTCCTGGTTGGGGCCCTCGGGACTCTAAGAATCAATGGCTGGAGACAATAGGTGACATGGCTCAAAATCGTTGTCAATGGCTTACGCAGATGTATTCAGTCTCTTGCTAATCTTTCATATTCCTTTCTACCATTACTCATTCTGTTTCACTCTTATACTTGTCAAAACTCTATTGATTCTCTTCACTCATCTTCTTGTCTACCTTTGTGTGCTCTTTGGAACGTGGCAACTCGAACTGCTGCACTTCGGTGCCAAGTTCTATGTTGAATCCATCCAGCCAGCATATTAAGCATATCGATCTTAGTGAACGCACCAGTTTCCATGGTTTTGTTTGTATCAATCATTTATCATGCCATCATTTGAAGTGATGGATTTAAATTCTATTAGATCTACGAAAGTTACATAAAGTTTAGTTTATGTAGCTATACAGACTAAAATAAGCTGAGTTATCAATTTTGTTCCAATGATGTCAAAAACCCCTGCAGATAAAGCACAGTGTTACGTAAGAAAGATAAGAAATTAATGACGTTTAGAACATCCACTATCTAATGTAGAGATAGACCACTATTAAGTTCAACACTCAGGAACTGAAGGACAAAGTTACAAAGGACACCTTTAACGGAGTCGTCAGGAAAAAAAATTAGAGGCTTTAGGAAACCTAGGTAGAAGAACACTGGCGACTTGAAAGGAAACCTTTAAACGTATGTTAGGCGAGAAGAGGACAAAGCAAGACAAGGAATGACTCTCTAAGGACACCTGGAAGCTGACAGAGGACGGAAGGATGGTGAAACAGAGGATGAACCAATGCACAGATGTACAATCAAAACAAAAGCTCAGTATAATGCTTAGACTACTACCGAAGAAGGAAGTGAAGAAGTGTGCTAGGAAAGAGAAAAGACGCTTTCTCGGTGCACTGGCAACTGAACCAGAACAGGCTGTAGGTAAAAGAGACCACATAATGCAATATCAAGTAACTAGGTGGTTAGCCAAGAAAGGATCAATACAGATGAAGCCAGTGAAAGATAGTGGAGGTGTCTCAGGCTTCGTGTGCTTTTGGAAGTGTGTGGGCGGTTGTTACTTCCCTGCTGCCCACACCGTCGAAGTTGATTGATTCTTCGGGTACCTGAAACAGAAAGAGGGTTAGTGTTGCGTGACCGCAGAGCCCAGGGGACAACTGCTTGAGGCCGGTTACACACGGCCTGTATGAACTGGTTTCTGGGATTGGTTCCGTATTAGTAAACTTACCGCCGGTTACGGACCACCGTAGTAAGTGGATGTACATTTTAGGGTCGACCTTTTCTAATCCCCTCTCTCCGGAGTGGAGAGACAGCATAGCTAACATGCTGGTCATCTGAGGGAAACACCTCACTGCTGTTACACCCCTGTTCCCCAGCAGTACGACTTCGCCCTCAGACCCCCAACATAGTGTAAGTAACCCAATTACTAGAGAGTTGGGACGGTGGGAACGCTTTGCTGGTCACTCCAATAGACTCAGTTGAGTTGACCACCACCTGTGCAACTTATTCAGAAATACCATTACCATATGTAGAACTATCAGTGAACACAAATCCTGCGGTGAAAGAGGAAGCTTTAAAAGCCACAAAGTTACTAAGAGCCAAGAAAGCAGTAGGATTGCATCAAATCTCAGAAGCATTGAATACGGACCTAGAGACTTCAGCCGACACTCGTTAGCCACTACTGTAGATGATGTGGTGGGAACGAAAGGTATCCGGCTATTTGGAGGGAAGCTACCTTATGAAACTCCGTGAATAATACCTTTACATGAACTGACTTGTCATCATGCTGTCCTCCAATTCAAGCTAAGACTAAAAGATGGCCTGGATGGAAGACTTCGCTCGGAACAGGCTGGATCCAGGAGAAATAAGTTGTGTGCCGGCCAACATTACGCATCATCATCATCATCATCATCAAACACAGCCTGGAAAGACAGTCAACTCTTTACCCCAACTTCTACCTCATTTAACAGCTATATGAAAGTAACGCATGTGAAGTGATTCACAATGGAAAGCTCACTGAGGCCTTCTAAGTGAAAACAGGAATAAGACAAGGCTGGAGACTGTTACCGATGACTTGCCTGACTGTGGTGAACTGCATCATGCGTCGGTTAGAAGACAGGCATTTATTGGACTGACAGAAAGACCTTAGAAAATCTGGCCTTTATGGATGATTTGTGAAAACCAACAAATAGGCAGAAGAGGCAGTAAAGACAGGACTCCAGATGAACACAGGTGATGCAGGAAAAAACCAACCAAGAGTCGAATGCTCAACAAACATGCAGAAGAAAATGGGTGGATCGTTGAGACCGTCGAATGACATCGCACTCAGTGCAGGTCATGGCTAGAGTGGAAAAATCAATGCGAAGGTGACATGGAGGATGTCGTGTGGCGAAGAGAAGATGAGGGATTATGGGCGATCGTGGAGCTAGTCAGCTGAAGAGGACAGTAGAAAATAGAAGAAAGTGGAGATGTGTTGTTGAAGCCCTATGTTCCATTAGGAATCCAAGGGAATAATAATAATATACAGATACAGACCTTCTTGAACAGCTGTCTTCGCTCAATACTACTCAAGATCAGATGGCCGGCCAGAAAAGATCAGCAACAAGGATCTGTGGGAGCGAACCAACCCAGCAGGAACCAATTGTGCAATAAATATGCAGGAAGAAATGGAGTTTGGGGGGATTGGCCATACTCTGCGAAAACAAACCATCAAGTGACATCACACGACAGGCTCTCTCTCGAGTGGAACCTAAACGGGAAACGGCAAGTTGGTCGTTCGAGGGTGAACATGGAGGAGATGAAAGCATATGGGCAGACGTAGAGTCAGGTGAAAACGCTGTTGGAGAACCGAACGCAATGGAGACGTGTGGCTGAAGCCCTAAGTACCGCTAGGAACTAAAGGAAACAATAATAACACCATACAAATACTGTCACGTCTCCATGAAAGCCAACCAAAATTATACCCTCTCCCCGGAGCTGTCATAGCATTCATGTCCATTTTTATAATTGCCAGACATGGCTACTGACAGTGGAAAATATGAAAAGACTATTTGTCTTTGACAACAGAGGGATGTTGCTGTTGAGTAATACTGAGGTTCGGTATAGAGTCTTAAGTAAAAAGACTACGTCTATCGATAAGATTGTGAAGCTATATCGTTCGACATGCATAGGACATGTGTTGTGTCATGTCAAGTCACCATCTTCCTAGACGAGCAATGTTAGCTGACATAGGATTAGCTTGGAAAGGAGTTACGGGTGTCCAAATCAAAATGTGGCATAGGTCCATGAAGTTTTAGACGCTGACGTTCACGGATAGTACAAAGTATACTAATGCAAGATCTAATACCCGCAACTTCTATAGTATTCGTTCCGTGTAGACCAAAGGTAAAGCAAAACACCAGGAATGATCAACCGAATTATGAATGATATTTCGGAACGAAATAGAAGTGGAGATGATTGCTTAACTAGCTAGGGATCGTGCACGAACGAACGAACGTAACACGACGGCGTACCAAATGGCGTGAATGCTTTACCGTAAGCCTTCAGATGTTCATTGATAAATGCTGTGGCTAGTAATTCAGGGGAATTACCTACTGCTACAAAGTCTTTGACACTTGGTTTGAGGCAACCACGTAGGGAAGCATAGATTGATTGCCTGATTGCAGTCCTCAGGATGCCAAGAACTAATGGCTTGAGGCTATCGGTGATAGGGTTACACTTTTGTGCAATCTACTATGTTGAAACTCAGTCCGGATATCTTATTCAGCTGGTATAATACGGAAAATTCACATAAAAATAAACAGCAAAATAAATATGATTTCGCGTAAACTAGCTGTTACACCAAAAAATGAAGATAATGAGCAGCAGTGTCGGTGGTACAGCGGTTAGGACGCTCGCCGACCATGCACATGGTCCGGGGTACGATCCCCGACCACCGACACACTCCTTTACCTCACTAAGCCAGAAACAAAGCTGGTAAAAAGGGAAGGTTGGGGTGGGG